GAACTGGAACATATCATTCTGGCCAAATCCCAAAGTCAAGCATTGGAACCTACTGAATTCAAGAGTTGACTGCACTTTTACAGTGAACAGTTTCACCAGCATCAGGGTATCACATTGTCTTTTCTACCAAGTGAATCAGTGTTCTTTTGTGAGGACGCAGATAGAGGCACTGCCAAGGAAACAGGCCACCTTTCCCCGGGATAAGTTCTTACTCAACTTGGGTAAGAACACAAGCAAGCACACAAGCAAAGGAACACTTTTTTCTCAAGGTAGAGGTTCCTTAGCAACGTTTAACCACCACAGCATTCTATCTTCTGACTCTTGATTCTGTCTTCTGGGATGCTGTCCACATGCAAAGGAGGTGTATTCTCAGCTTTCTGCTCCTTTATGGATGGCTTTCCTGAAATTCCAAATTTCTAATTCACACACAGATAGTCATCTAGAGGATCTTCCTGTTGGCTATTCACCAGCTGATTTAAGGGAGAAGGGGATTCTTTCGTTTTGCATTCAGAGTTTAGTGCTTGTGTATTTGCCTCCCTTTTATACTAACTAAGCTGGCTGAAGACCTGAAGGTTCTGGAATAGCTCAGCTTCTGCTACAAAGAGAGGGAGAAGCCCTGCTAGGGCTATACTTAGAGCATTTGTTTGAGTTAAACATCTTTCTAATTTGACTAGTAGTTCTACACTCAAGTAAATGTCTCTCTTTTTTTCTTTATTAATTGAAACAACGTGGAAGGTTTTGGCTTTGGCTTCCAGAGTGTTCTAAAACACAAAATCTTGTCATCTGGAAAATGCCTCCTTTTGCTACTCTCAAATAGGAATAACTTTAAAAGGAACCCACACAGAGACCACCAAGCAATGTAATGGCTGTGTGTTCCCCCCAAAATCTACAGGCAAATGCTTTTGCTGACCCACAACTTGGGACCAGTAAGGATTCAAATCTACTACTTATGGGATTGTAATTCTCCTACTGGGATGTTAATCTGATTGTTTATTAAAGCTCTGCTGACTTATTCATTTAATGTATTTGACATACTGGGCCCTTAACTTCAGTATATAGCACTGGCTACATTTCAAGTGTCTAATAGCTACAGGTGGCTAGTGGCCATTGCAGTTCTTGAGTCAGTCCATTGCTGTGTCATCTGCACATTAGTAAGTCTCAAGATAGCATTTTCAGCCAGGTATTGGCATTTACAGGCAGGAGTATAGACCAGATATTTTGCAGAAGGTAAGTTTTCACTGGGCCCTTAACTTACATTGGATAGATACTTATCTACTTTGTATATTGCCTGTCTGAAGTCTATATATATATATGTGTGTGTGTGTGTGTGTGTGTGTGTGTGTTTTATGATCCTGAAATATCCCTCCTGAGAATTCTTAGGAAGAGACAGAATGTGGGAGAAAGTCATGTAATAAATGTATGCTTGAGGGCAACATCTAACATCAATACTGTAAGAACTTTAGCCTGGGCACAGTGGCTCACACCTATAATCCCAGCATTTTGGGAGACTGAGACAGAAGACTTTTTGAGATCAGGAGTTTGAAATCAACCTAAGCAACATGGTGAGACCCCATCTCTATTAATTAAAAACAAACAAACAACAAACAACAACAACAAAAAACTAGTTAGTGCAGTGGCTTGTGCCTATACTTTCAGCTACTTAGGAGGTTGGAGAATCATTTGAGCCCAGGACTTTAACACTGCAGTAAGCTATGATCACGCCACTCCACTCCAGCTTGAGTAACAGCATGAGACCCCATCTCTAAAAATAAAACTACAAAGTAAAACTTTGAACACCAAGGGCTGATGTTGTATATGGTTATATCTATGTATTTCCCTCCCTCCTCTTTTGTTTGTTGTCTCTTTCTGAAGTTCTGCCTCTTTTTAGTATTGATACCTTTTCTCTTCTTACTACTTCTTTGACATAATATTGGAGCCTTGAATATGTGGGGCTGCTTTCACTGTCAGGGATACAGTTTTTAGGTAAACGTAGTAAACTAGCAAGAAGAACAAACAGAGAACATTAGAGAGGCCGCAAAATTTTTCTGAATTTACACTACATAAAAAGTTATCCAGTGTGGAAAGAGACAGGATTTCAAGCCTTGAGTTAATAGAGGTTATGATCATAGCCAAAATGTATGGACTTAACATTTCAGATATTTGACTTCTAGGCTACTGACAAATATATCTGTTAGGAGTGCTTTCAGCTGCAAATAACAGAATTCCTGATCAACAGTAGCTTAAACTTGGAGAGGTTTCATGTTCTTAGGTAACAAGGAGCCTGCAGGTAGCTGGATGCTGGATTGGTTCTGCTGTTTGACAGAATTCTCAGAGATTCCACTCCACCATCCTTAGTGTACTCATGTTCAACTAAATGCTTGCTACCTCATGGACACAGATGGTTGCTGACACTGCAGACACTGAATCTTTGTTCAAGAAAGAAAGATGTTCTCATTAGAAAAACAAAAGCTTTTCGAGAACTCTGTCCCCTGGGGAGCCCCAGCTACAAGAGAGGCTGGGAAAATGAGTAATTAGCTTCTTAGTCTCTAAAGTGGAGGATGTAAGAGAGAAGACACTATTGAGTTAGTGAGCAAAAGATGACAGCCATAATGTGGTTCTCTAACAGCTGATATAGTAGCTGACATATATAGAGGGCTTGTGGGATGTAAGATATACAAGCATCTCACAGATATCATTTCCTCTGATCCTCATAACAATTCCTTGATTTATGTCTACTATTATTATCCCTCCATTCTTAGTTGAGAAAACTATATCTTAGAGATGTCAATTAATTTACCCAAATCACATGGGAATTCCCTTGTTGTGTTACCCTATCTCCATCATTACAAAATAGCTACCCTCATTCATAGATTCCCTTCCACATAATTTATACTTTTTTTGAAATACATGCTTAATATTTTGCTCTATAAAGGCAGAGTGATGGAGAGGAAGGAGTCAGGGTAACTTAGTTTCTGGCTTGAGAAATTCCGATAGTATGGCTCATTCCCTGAGAAAGGAAGGGTAGTTTTTGGCAGACATTATGTACATCCCATGTCAGGTGGGTTTAGTAGAGGGTACCTATTTGTCATTCAAGTGGCTCATGGTAAGAGGTGTCTGGAGTGCCGGAGAAATTTCATAGAATTGACCTATGATGTCTAAGAGATTGATGATCACAACCAAACCAGTATCACCTTCCTGAGGCTTTCTTTTCTTAAGAAATAAGAAAGTAAGCAGAAGAGATGTAGGGATGAGTAATGGATACAAGTGTCTTCTTTTCTGCTCACCAGTACTGTGGGAGGAAGTTTCTGAGATGACCCGATAATGCCTGCCTCCCGATATCCCTGATTATGCCTGCCTCCTTGCATATGAACCTATTCTCCCTTGAGTGGTGTGGACCTGTGACTTGCTTCTGATTAAGAGGATAACAACAAAGGTGATGAGCTATCATTTCCATAATTATGTTACAAGCATGTAACCTCTGTCTCATTAGCAGATTTTCTCTATTTGTCTTCTTGGCTTTCATGCTTTGGTGAAGGAAATAGCCATGTTCAAGAGCCCCATGTAGCAAGAAGAGGTTCATGTGACAAGGATCTTAGGGTGGCTGTTGGCCAACAGCTAGCAAGGAACTGAGGCCCTCAGTCCAGCAGCCTTTGAGGACCAGAATTCTGCCAACAACCTGAGTGAGCTTGGAAGTGGATCCTTTCCCAGCCGAGCTTTCAGATGAGACCCTAGCCCTGGTCACCAATATGATTGTATCCTTGTGAAAGACCCTGAAGTAGAGGACGCAGCTCAGCTGGATTCCTGACCCACAGATGTGGAGATAATAAATGTGTGTTGTTAAAACCATTACACTTATGGTAATTTATTAAATGGCAATAGATAACACATACAAACACCCAGAGTTTAGTTGAGGGATCAGGGGATAGACCCATGTGGCCATTAGCTGGGGTATATGCTTACTTAATTCAAGAGTCAAAGGAGAGCAGACTGTCTTTTACAATTCTGAAATACAGAAGGGAGATCGTTTATATTTGGAAATAAATTACCTGGTTGGTCAATTAAAACCAGAACTGAGAATCAAAGCGTTTGATTCACTGGAGAAAAGAGAAAACCCTGAGAGGAATGCAGTTATATTTAAAGCAGCCTCTGAGCAGCAGCAGCTGGTGTCTGAACGAGGCCGAGACATCCTATGGGAGTGCTATATGAGCCTCGGGAGGCAGATAAACATTAGACATAACCATGCAGCAAAAGGCTGTAGATGGTGCTGAGGAAACCAGGGAATCAAGGGGAGTATCATGGAAAGTTGTCGATTTTCCTCTACTGGAATCCATAAAGAATAAAGGATTTTGTAAAATAACTTAAAAAAAATTCAAAATAGTGATTACAATCATTCAGTGTTCCTGTTCTGTGAGCAATTTCCTTTCTTTCCTTTCTCCTCTTCTATCTTACAGTAGCCATTGACACTTTTTACATTAATCTACTCAGGTTTTCATAACAAAATACCACAGTCTAAATATTTTGCTAGACAAAAATTTACTTTCTTGCAGTTCTGGAGGTGAGAAGTCCAAGATCAAGGTACCTTCAAGGTGAGGCTCCAGTGAGGCCTGTCTTCCTGGCTTGCCAGAGGCTGCCTGCTAGCTGTTTCCTCACATGGCCTTTTCTCTCTGTATATGTGGAAAGAGAGCAGTCTCTGGCATCTCTTTTTCTTGTTTTTTTTTTTTTTTTTTTTTTTTTTGAGAAGGAGTCTCACTCTGTTGTCCAGGTTGGAGTACAGTGGCATGATCCCGACTCACTGCAACTTCTGCCTCCTGGGTTCATGGTATTCTCCTGCCTCTGCCTACCTAGTACCTGGGACTACAGGCGGCTGCCACCACGCCTGGCTAATTTTTTATATTTTTAGTAGAGACAGGGTTTCATCATGTTAGTCAGGATGGTCTGTCCGCTTTGGCCTCCCAAAGTGCTGGGATTACAGGCGTGAGCTACTGCGCTTGGCCTCTTCCTCTTCTTATAAGGACACCAGTTCTACTGGGTTAAGGCCCCACCCTTATGACCCCATTTGGCATTAATTACCTACAAAAAGGCCCTCTCTCCACATATAGTCGCATTGGGGGTTATGTCTTCAACATATGAATTTGGGGTTGGAGGTGGATACAATTCAGTCTGTAGTACTTTCTAACCACTAAATGCCTATAAAATGTAAGCTCAGTAAGGGCAAGGACTTGGGCTGTGTTTTTCACTGAGCTGTCCTGTCTTTCCAAGGCCTGTTACAGTGCCTGGAACAGGCACATAGTAGGCCCTCAATAAATGTTTGTTGAATGAATGAATGATGGCCTCTTCTTCTCTCTGATGCTCTGATATTGAGGAAATCTGTGAGAAAAGATCAGGTAAGGAGGCATTTTTTTTTTTCATAAGAAGTGGAAAGTTTTTATGTAGTGTTGCATTTTTCAGTTTTATGATAAGATTTATAAAGATGCTCAGTCATCGCTGCCAGCCCCTGCACCATGTCCTCCCTCTGCTCCGTGCTCCTCCGCCTGTGGCAATGGAAGAAGAGATCCCCCGCTCTTCATTGACAATGGCTCCAGCATGTGAAAAGCGGCTTTGCTGGGACAATGCCCTCTGAGCCATGTTCCCCTCCATCGTCAGGTGCCCCCGGCACCAGGGCATGATGGTGGGCATGGGCCAGAAGGACTCCTATGTGGGCGACGAGGCCCAGAGCAGGTGTGGTATCCTGACCCTGAAGTACCCCATCAAGCACTGCATCATCACAAACTGGGACGACATGGAGAAGATCTGGCACCACATTTTCTACAACGAGCTGCGCGTGGCCCTGGAGGAGCAGCTGGTGTTACTGACTGAGGCCCCGCTAAACCCCAAGGCCAGCAGGGAGAAGATGACTCAGATCATGTTTGAGACCTTCAACACCCTGGCCATGTACGCAGCCATTCAGGTTGTGCTGATGCTGTATGCCTCTGGGCATACCACTGGCATTGTCATGGACTCTGGAGATGGGGTCACCCACACAGTGCCCATCTACGAGGGCTACACCCTCCCTCACACCGTCTTGCATCTGGATCTGGCTGGCCAGGACCTTACTGACTACCTCATGAAGATCCCCACCTAGCGTAGCTACAGCTTCACCGCCATGGCCAAGCAAAAGATCGTGCGTGACGTCAAGGAGAAGCTATGCTATGTCGCTCCGGACTTTGAGCAGGAGATGGCCACTGCTGCATCCTCCTCCTCCCTGGAGAAGAGCTATGAGCTGCCTGACAGCCAGGTCATCACTATCGGCAAATGAGCGGTTCCAGTGTCTGAGGCACTGTTCCAGCCTTCCTTCCTGGGCATGGAATCCTGTGGCATTCATGAAAGTACCTTCAACTCCATCATGAAGAGTAAGGTGGACATCCCAAAGACCTGTATGCCAACACAGTGCTGTCTGGTGGCACCACCATGTACCCTGGCATCACTGACAGGATGCAGAAGGAGATCACTGCCCTGGCACCCAGCACCATGAAGATCAAGATATCGTGCCCCCAGAGTGCAAGTACTCGGTGTGAATCTCTGGCTCCATCCTGGCCTCACTGTCCACCTGCCAGCAGATGTGGATTAGCAAGCAGGAGTACCACGAGTCAGGTCCCTCCATTGTCCACCGCAAATGCTTCTAAATGGACCGCAAGCAGATGCATAGCATTTGCTGCATGGGTTAATTCAGAAGTATAAATTTGCCCATGGAAAATGCATACACCTCATGCTGTCCTCACGATACTGGAATAAGCCTTTGAAAAGAAATTGTCCTTGAAGCTTGTATCTGATATCAGCACTGGAGCATAGAACTTGTGCTGATTTTAACCTTGTATTCCAGTTAACTGTTGCCCTTGGTATTTGTTTAATACCCTGTACATATCTTTGATTTCAACCCTTAGTACATATGGCTTGGTCACTTCATGGCTGAGGTAAGAACGTGCTTGTGGAAGACAAGTCTGGCTTGGTAAGTCTGCATGGCCAGCAGTCTCTGATCTGTGCAGGGTATTGATGTGTCAGGGCTGAGTGTTCTGGGATTTCTCTAGAGGCTGGCAAGGGCTCCTGAACTAGTTGTTTCTGTCCTGCCGGTCTGTCAGGGTTGGAAAAGTCCAAGCCATAGGACCCAGTTTCCTTTCTTAGCTGACGTTTTCCTACTGGAATACCGTGGGCTGTTACTTGCTTTGAGTTGGAAGCGGTTTGCATTTATACCTGTAAATGTATTCATCCTTTTAATTTATGTAAATTTTTTTCTTTTTCTTTTTCTTTTTTGTACAGAATTCTCAATTCTTTAAAGAGATGATAACAAATTTTGGTTTTCTACCATTATGTGAGAACATTAGGCCCCAGTAACACACCATTGTGTAAGGAAAAATAAAAGTGTTGCAATAAAAAAGATTTATAAAGATAAACAATCTGAGTTAGATTATTTATTTAATAAATCATATGATTCATTCACCCATTTCTTCTATCAAATATTTACTGAGCACCTAGTAGATATTCATCATATGGTCGGGTGCTGTGGGTGAAGCTAAGAAGGGTAAGACACCATCTTTGTTCTCAAAGCGTTTGCCGTGTGCTTGCTGAGGGATGTGGTCAACACAGGAAGCAGTTAGGTGACTACACAATTATGTATAAAAGAATCACTAGAAAGATCATACTTCCCTTCCCTGAGAACTAATAAGAGGATGCAGTCTTAAGTAAAACAGGATACCTGCTAGGTAAAAGGCAAAGATTTCTTTATGGCAGAGTTGTTTAAGACTTGATAGAAGTAGTTCAGGTAAGCTTAAAACTAAAACAAAGTACTGTAAAACTCCACTATGAGGCACCTGAGATAATATGAAGTGGGCATTTGGTTATTGGCTCCCATCTTTTGCCAAGTTCCCATACACAAATGGGAGCAGGCTCCAACTTTTATCTTTAAGGGAACAGGAAAGAGAGAGGAGAAAAGGGCAGGGAAGGAAAGGCCCAGTGGGTAATGAGAGGCAACCTGTCCCCAGAAGCGGAGAAGGGGAAGGGGGGTTTCCATGTTCTTAGAATCGCCCCGACCTCATCTTCCTGAATTGGGCTGACAACCACACAGAGATTCCTTGAATCTTTGCTGTGGTCCTTAGACAGCCATAGAACCCAGAGTTGCCCCTATTGATATTTAACCAGGAGAAGACAACTGCCAGCACCAGTGGCATGAAATCACAGCTGGACCTGCAGAACCCAAGGTTGGTTAGCTGCTTGGACCTACCCAGTCACTCCTTAATCTTGATCCTAGCACTTTGGGAGGCTGAGGTAGGCATATCGCTTGAGCCCAGGAGTTCAAGACCAGCCTAGGCAATATGGTGAAACCCTCTCTGTACAAAATACACAAAAATTAGCCAGGCACAGTGGTATGCACTTGTGGTCCCAGCTACTTGGGAGGCTGAGGTGGGAGGATCACCTGAGCCCAGGAGGTAGAGGCTACAGTGAGCTGTGATCATGCCACTGTACTCCAGCCTAGGTAACAGAGTAAGACCATGTCTCAAAAAAAACCAAAAAACAAAAACAAAAAATAAAAAACAAAAAAGTGACCCACATTTTACACATCTACACTTTTATACCTGAGTTATTTTGTTAAGATTTTCCTCTAGTATTTATGACTGGTAAGTTAGCTACCTCTGGGCCCGAATATATCTGATACAGCCCTGTCTGAGCATAGGACACCGAGCCCTAGTCTTTCTCATTTTTCTTTCTGCCTGTGGATCTATGAATCAAGGATCCCAATGCTACCCTCCACTGTACAATTTCAGAAACAAAGCATGGCAAGGAGAGCCAGCAAGGATCCCAGCTCAACTTACCTGAGCACATCACTCTTCGCAAGATCTGCCCACTGTTCCAGGAACAGAAACAATGTTCCACGCAAACCCAGACGGAGACTGCGTGCTGTGGTGGAAATCGCTGAGCTGGTAACAGACACAGCAGGGCTAAGGCTCATACAAGGACAGGAGTGAACAGCAATGCCTAAGCACTCCTTTCAGCCTCCCAGAGGTTTCATTCTTTGTTTTATTTCTGCCAAGCTCTCTGGTGTAGGATACTTCACTCTTGGCATTAGCTAGCTTCCTGTGGTGTTAAATGAGTTCAAATACTACAACATGTGTGACAGCATTTTATAAACCCTGAGGCACGATGACATTGTACAGGCTGGCTGTAGCTGTGGCCACTCTACTCTTTCTTCTCCTCGTCCAAGTGTGGGGTGCAGTGCGGTGTTGAAAACTGTAGGCTCTGGACTCAGATTACCTGACCTTGAAGCTTTAAGCCATTTATTTAACTTTTGCTCATCTAGGCTTCCTCATCTTAAAAATGAAGGAATAATAATAAGAATCAACTTTATGAGATGGTCTTGAGGTTTAATTGAGGAAAAATTCATGTAAAGGACAGCACGGGGAAGAAAATATTTAATACAAATATTAGTTGATATTCCTTAAGTGAACAGAGCTGGATACTAACTTTTCTCTGGTTTCTTTTCCTCGATGTCATCTTTTCAACATGTCTTGGCACTACCAGTAGATAGCGGGGGTCTAGCCACGGGCCTGAATGAGAGATATCTAGGGATTATGAGTTGTAACAAAACAACAAAATAGGTAATATACTTCTGTAGGCCAGGGTAGATTGCTGTTTTAAAGGATGTCACCTGTAAGGCCTTGAGAAAAGTATAGGCTGTTAGAAAACTTTCTCCCAGCACCATTACCATTTATGGGAAACTGATAGAGATTTAACATCTACATTTGCTTATCTCATCTCTGGCTACATTTGCTTGTCTCATCTCTGACACATTTCTTATTGTGACACATCCCATTGAGAGAAGAACTGCAAGTCTCTTCAGGAATTGTGTAATTCTGCAGAGATGAGAGGGTATGAATGAGTATGAAGTAGAATGTTTCTTTCAAGAGGACTCTGAGTCCTCAGGCAGTCTAGGAGATAATCAATGATATTTCTGGTGAAGAAAATGACTATGAAAGAAAGTCATTCAGATTTCTGGCTGCACATGGTCAATTAAACTCATAGTTTATTTTTGCTCTCTTCAAAATCTTGTTAGAAAAAAGAAGAATGTTATAAGCCCACAAGGACAGGAAGAGTAGCACCAACATTTTGGAAGCTAGAATGCTGAAGAAAGTTTGTTGCTTACTTCACAGATTAGAGACAGCTGAAATCTAAGCAGTTTCTTTGCATCAGCCTCCTCAAGAGGCAACCCAGTGGGATGATGCAAAGGAAAGAAGCTCCGTAATTATAGGTACCAGGTAACTCTGAAAGTGGGGTGAAGGTAGGACTAAAAATAGATTGACATATATCATAAGAGGCAACTAGAATCCTAGATCACCCTCCCATCCCCTTTCTACCTGAGAAGATGACTAGAGGCCAGATTCCCTGCAGAGACCAAACTAGGAATAATTGGGTACCAGGGATGCCAGCTACAGCTGAGGTGGTTATGAGACTGTACTGAAGACACTCTACATACTGGGTCGCTCACTTTTCTGTAAGCTCCTAGAATATTGGCCACTAGACTTAAATTCTCCAGGCAGGAGATTGAATGACTCTTCTCTGAATAATCTGATTAGCCAAAGAGAAAAGCTACAGACAGAGTAAGAAGTCCCACGGTGAAACTGCATATCCAGATCAACCCACCATGAAATTCACAGCGAGCAAGTTCCACTCATAATCACACAATCAATCCAATCACACTTTTCGGTGTTTCTCCTAAAATATAAGTGAGGAATCAAGGACAATAAGACTTTTGAGAAAAGCCTCTAAACAAGGTTTTTCTTATCTCAACACTACTGATATTTGGGTCTGGATAATCCTTGTTGTGCTGTGCATTGTAAGATATTTAGCAGCATCCCTGGCCTCTACCTACTGGATCTCGGTAGTGCAAATTCCCAGTTGTGACAGACAACCAAATACATCTCCAGACATTGCCCTCGGGACTAAAATCTCTTCCTATTAAGAACCACTGTTCAAACAGGAAGAGAGAGAGATAGAGATAGAGATTGAGATAGAGATAGAGATAGAGATAGAGATAGAGCTGAAAGAGAAAGAGAAAGAATGAGAAAGGCAGGAAAAAAATAAATAAAGAAAAAAGAAAATAGAAAAAAAAGACTGTAAAGGAAATAAGAACAAAATGAACAAAAATACTATCTTCAGAGTGATAAAAGAAGATATTGTATTCATAAAACAAGAGCAGGTGGTGCCAGGCACAGTGGCTCATGCCTGTAATCCCAGCATTCTGGGAGGCCAAGACAGGAAGATCACTTGAACATAGGAGTTCAAGACCAGCCTGAACAACATGGAGAAACCCCATCTCTGCAAAAAATACAAAAATTAGCCAGGGATGTTGGCATATACTTGTAGTCGCAGATACTTGGGAGGCTGAGACCGAAGGATAACCTGAGCCTGGGAAGGTCGAGGTTGCAGTAAACCATGATTGTGCCACTGGACTCCAGGCTGGGTGACAGAGTTAGACCCTGTCTCAAAAAAAGAAAGAAAGAAAGAAAAAAAGAAAAAACAGGAGGTAATAGAAAAGAAACATTCAGGAATAAAAAATCCTCTCAGAAATTAAATACATGTCAATGGAAAATAAATAAATAAAAGCGTTGAAAGATAATGTTGCAGAAATTTCCCAGAAAAATACAGCCAAAAAGTCAAAGAGATAGAAAATTGCAGAGAAAGAAAACAGGAATTTGAGCATAATTTTGGAAGACTTAAGGTCCAACTAGTAGATATCCTTCAAATAATAGGAGGAAACAGTGAGATAGATATAGGGGAGGAAAGTTTCAAATAAGCTGTTTGGTATGGTTTCCTGTGTCTCCACCTAAATATCATCTTAAGTCATAATAAACAGCACATGTGAAGGGCAGGGTGAGGTGGAGATAGATGAATCATGGGGCTGGTTTCTCTCGTACTGTTCTCATGGTAATGAATAAGTCTCAAAAGATCTGATGGTTTTATAAACGGGAGTTCCCCTGCACAAGTTCTCTTTTGCCTTCCGCTATGTGAGACATGCCTATGCTTCTCCTTTGCCTTTCGCCATGATTGTGAGGCCTCCCCAGCCATGCTGAACTGTGAGTCCATTAAACCTCTTTCCTTTATAAAGTACCCAGTTGAGTATGTCTTTGTTAGCAGCATGAGAATGAACTAGTATACTCTCTTCAAGAAAAAATGTCCACAATGGAAGGATACGAATTTCTAGATTGAAAGGACTTATAAGGAATCAAATACATGAAGCTCAGAGCAGTTGAGACAAAGCAGCCCTAAAAGTTTCCAGGAGAAAATAGAGTTTACATAAAAGAGTCAGAATTTAGAATGACACGAGGCTTCTAGAAGCTTCTAGTAAGCAATGGAGTGATGCCATCA